AAACAGTATGCTTTTTATGATTAAATGAAGATATAGCCTAAAGGTGCTTTGCGAGCTTTATACAGCATAACCAGGTTTCATTCGTCCAGGCCCATGGGCAGTTACCCCCTCTGTTGCCAACCTGGAAGTGACTGAAGAGTCCTATCAAGATTTCTCATTATTAATTGGCCAGCTATTAAGTATATTTAATTATGCAAAAGCCTAAGTGTTATAATACTCATTGCACATAATGTTGTTTTTCTCGTTTATTTTTTTAGAGTAGTGCATGACTTATAACGAAGGATTTTATTTTAAGTTTTTTTTTTTCTTTTTCCTTCTTGTTTTGCTAACTTTTAGTGTTTCACTTTTGTTTCAGTTTCTCCACTTGAAAAGAAGAAAAAAGCCTAAAAGTTTGCTGATGACGCAGAGCTTCTGCACATTTGAGAAACTAAACCAAAATTTCAACCAATGTTCCACTTTGAGACTTTCTTCCTGCTGTTTAAGATTAAGTCAGCTCAATTCCCATTGTTGTGGTTTATTTAATATGTCCTCATTTATTGTTTCATCCATGGTTTTCATTTGGTCTCAGCATCAAAAATAAAATATTTTACATATACAAGTAAAAAAAAAGCTTTAAAACATACATTTTGAAAAGAGACACACACATACCTTTCAGTCACATAAGTAAATTAGTGTAACTCACAATTGCAAACCCCATTTTTCTTTCCCTCACTCATCCCTTTCTTGATTGATTCAAGTTTATTGAGGTAATTTATAATCATTGTTGTTATTATTATTATTCCTTTATTTTCTGTTATTTTTTGTGAATAGACAATTTCATTAACACAACTATAAGATTTTTTCAATGGGGCCTTTGGTTTCCATTAAGATGTAATGTGATAGTTCACTGTTACTCAACAGTTTAACATTGTCATTCAAGAAAGGGGAAACATGCCTGGCCATTTGAAACTGCACCCATTTTTATTTCCTTTTCTTATTTGATCAGTGTACTCTGGTCAGCAGTGCACAGTGAGAAAGCCTCATCTTTCTCATTTCTGAGTGTTTTCTCGTAAACTCTGTAGCTAGAGCTTGCTTGTTTTTTATTTGAGTTGTTTTGACTTCGTCTTTATTCTGCCCATTAAGTTTGTGGTGTTAAGAAAAAAAATTCTTATTTGAACAAAATTAAAATTATTTTTTCAAAAAAAAAAGCAGATGTGGTGAAGTTGTGATTTGTCTGAAAGTATTCTTTGGAATACCAAAACTTTAAACAACAAAGTGTCTAGTGGGATTTGAAGGTCTTATGTTGTTGTTGTTTGTTTTTCTCATGCCCATCAGTTTCCATTCTCATAAATGGCATAGTTTTTTGTATATACCTAGTAATATTCAATAAGTTATTTTTACACCTTCGCTAACCACTTGTGCTAAAGATCGGAAAACTCCATCCAAAGATACGTGCTTGACCTTCATTTCCAAAGCACTAAATTCAAGGATTGTTAGTCATTGATGAAAAATCTTAGGATGAATAAAATGCTTTCATCATGGATGTACAAGAATTTGATACACTCTTTGGTGCACGGTGTGATACTTGTGTTCTTTCTTTTCTTTTTTTTTGAAATTTGACTATCCTTGTTCTTGTTGTCCAATGCATGATTGAATTTTGTACATTGACCCTTTGTACAGTAGGTAAAAATGAAATAAAGCCATCTTTTATGATCTTAAATGTATGCTTCATGTTGTCTTTGTTATAAACAATGTGAAAGTAATCTAGACATTTTCTCTTACTTACTGTATTCAAAGGTTACCACATCGATCACCACCGTGTCCATCATTAAAACATTTAATTTTATTACCAGTAAAGCTATACATTTTTAACAAATAATTCTATTAACCTTACATCTACACGTGTAAAATGATTTAACAAATTATGGACGTGAGATCATTAAATTTGGTAAATGATTTTAAAAAAGTTACTCCTGCTTTCTTCTGCTTCGATCACAGTTTAGTTAAATGTTATTATGTTACTATGAGGTTATTTTACTAGGTGGCATTAGTTATCAAAACTATATATAATTGAGCCTTCCTGTGCAAGACTTTCAGAAGAACAACAAAAAAAAACCTTTAAAATTGAATAAATTTTTAATAAAACACTCGTTAACAAATAAATAGAAGAATTTATTATGACGTTTCCAGCAGGCAGCGTAACTATATAATAAAGAGTTTGCTGCCAATGTTACTAATTGTTATAATCACTATTTTACTCCAATGTTTTCACAACAGCAATGTGTTATATTAACTCTATCAGTATGTATCATTATTCTGCAGAAAGTTTACTGTACAGGCTAAAATATTGAACAAAACTGTATATACCATTAAAGTTTCTTATTTACCACAACAACTATAGACAAGTTACTAAATTTACTTCTGAACTTATAAATTATAAGAGAAGTAAACTATTTAAAATGTCTAGGTTTTTCGATTTTCATATTAAATATCCAAATTAAGAAAAAATAATGTATAATTAGTAGAGTAATATGAGTCTATGATAAATAGAATGAGAAATACTGTAATTTTTTTTCATGTACTTTAAGTTTATGACCAATTTCTACAGAAAATAATAATTTAGTATTCATTTTAACCACTAGATAGACTGTAAAGACATGAGGATGTATTTAGTTTAAAAATTGATTAATGATTATCTCGCCACTATCTCTACTCGTTCCAAATTAAATTTGTATGAAAATATGAATTATGCCAACGTCACTCTAACTTGTGTTTTGTATACTCAAAATGGCTTATAAGTATGAGAGCGAACATGTCTGATTGTTTAACGTAGAGGACTATGAATCGGAGAGTTTGTGGCTCGCGTTCAGTTGCAATAAACTCGAACTCCAGATTTTAGAGTCGTGGATGTATTATTAGAGTAATCCAAAAGTTGTAGGTGTGTGCTGCCAATAGTTGCTTTTCTCTTACCCCCCCCCCCAGTACAGAATTTAAGGATGACTTGCGTAATTAGCCCTTACTTAGCTTTGTTCAAGTATTAAAACAAAAAAAATCATAAGTGCTTTAACTTTCAAATTGCATGATGATAATTCTTTTTGTCCTCCAACATATTGTTTTAATTTTTTAATCAATCACATCACTTCTGTTAAAAGCCCAGGGAAATATCTGATTTTCCAGTCTATATATAAATATTTCTCAACTGAGATAAACTTACGTTTCGTTGTCAGTTTTATCAATTACAGTCACATTAATCTTAATGATATGCACAATACAAGAACCCCTCTACTTCGTAATACTAATAATGTATTATTACACAAACCTGTAAAATTAGTCTTCATCTCTCAGTACGGTTTTGTGGGCTATTTTGAAACAAATGAATTCAGGTTGATATATGTAACGAAAAAGCACTGAAATATTAAAAACAAAAATAACAAACACTAAATAAAAAAAACAAAAAAACGTATAACTACATAATCTAAGTTTAGGAAATCATATTTGTTTCGTTTTTCGGAGTTGGCGAAACATTTTGAGTAAATAGATTATAATGATTTTAATTCATGTAGGATAAAGTGTTCATTTCCCGTTTTATATTATACAGAAGTAATTATGAGAAGAATTAACATAACAACACATGTTCAGTCTTATCTACGGCAAGTTTTTGTGCTTGCAAATATTAAAAAGGAAATGAACAGTGTGATGACTGACAATGAGTTAGGATACATGTATTATCACAATTATAAACTGATTTTATAATTGAATTCATGGGACAGTGAGGCCGTCGAAAACTTTGCAATAGGGGTTGCTTAAAAGAAAATTTTCCAGCGCTGCCCTAAATAAAATGGGACAAACATGGCGACTTACTAATATTTTAAATTCGAAAAGTATAAAAATTTCTACTAGAGTTCGACAGAAGCTTTAACTAATTTTCCTTGAAGATGGCAAGTAAGTTAAGTGACACGTCTGTAATGTTAGGCCAAGTGAGGAAAATGGTTTTTACTCTCATAATTTTCTTATACTTTCATATTTTCATAATATTAGGAGAATCAAACGAAATTCGTAATGCCAGTATTGTTGATGGAATTGATATGTCTATTTATATGAAATATGAAGAAATTACAACATTTTTACGCAACTTGGAAAAGGAGTATCCACAATTAGCAAATGTTTATTCAATAGGGAAAAGTGTTGAAAATCGGGATTTGTTGGTTGTGAAAATATCCAATAATGTGACGTTCCGAGAAATTGGGAAACCTATGTTTAAATATGTAGCAAACATTCACGGAAATGAAGCGGTTGGGAGACAGTTGTTACTTTACTTGTCACAGTATTTATTACAAAATTATGGAAAGAATGAAAGGATTTCCAAAATTATTGATAATGCAGAGATTCATATCTTGCCATCAATGAATCCTGATGGTTTTGAAAAAGCCACTGAAGGCGATTGTTGGGGAAGTCGTTTAGCATCTGGTAGAGAAAATGCTAATGGAAAAGACCTGAATAGAAACTTTCCTGATCAGTTCACAATGGAAGATAGTAATCCCACGATAACGAACAAGAGAGAGCCAGAAACGGTTGCTGTTATGTCCTGGATAGTAAATAATCCATTTGTTTTATCAGCAAACTTGCATGGGGGATCAGTTGTAGCAAGTTATCCATTTGATGATTCTAAAAAGCATGAGCCAATGGGGCACCCAAGCCCGTCACCAGATGACAGTGTGTTTAAATATCTTGCCAAACTTTATGCTGAGAAGCATCAAACAATGCATACTGAAAAGGTGTGCGAGTTAGACGATTTTAAAGATGGAATAACCAATGGAGCTGAGTGGTATGATGTAACAGGTAAATATTTAACTGTGGTGTAGAAGTGTTGAAAACATAGAGAGGGAATTAACTTAATTTTAGTTCACCACAAATATGAAAGGGCCTATGCAATTGAATAAATTTTGTTTGGTTAAGAGTCCCATGGAAACTTTTCTACTGACTAGGTCTGTTTTTAGGGCAAGTAAAATTTTGCTATATGTAAAAATGAAGTGTTTGGATGAAAATACGTAATCCAGAGTTTGAAGCATTTTACAAATAAACTATATGATATCTTTAAATTAACAGTTTTCCTGGAAAATGTAATACACGTTAGCCTATTGTTATTTTTTCAAACAAAATACGTCTTCTCCATTTTATTTGAGGGCAAATAATTTTTAGGCTTAAATGTTATATTATTACAAGAGATTCTTGAGTTATTTTATAATTTTTATTACTTTGATTTGTTGTTTAGTTTTTTGTAATTGTATAGCAAAGGGCTCTGTTTCAATATATGATACTGTGGTAAATTTTTTCAGTTGTACTTATTTGACAAAGTTTTATATACAGACACACACCCATAATTTTAAATAAAAGAAACTACAATTTCAACGTATTAACCTCATTTTTATCATAATTTTCCAAGACAATAATGAACTGCTTTATTTTTACAAATCAGTTTGTTTGTAGACTGTGAATTTATATGAAAATTTAACTAGCATAGCATCAGTACTACTTTCAGTTTCTGTATGTATAATAAAAAACAAACTTGGTAATTCATGTCCATAAAAAAAACAAAAAACAGTTGATTCCAATGCTCTTAGTAGATTCCAAACTTTCAACTGTGACAGTCTGTTAGCCCAAGGACATATTACTCCAATAGTCTGAAGGTGTAACCTTTTTTTTTAACAGTTAAAATGTTAAATTGATTGTTTGGTTAAATTTGTGAAATTTTATGACATAAACACCCCAAGGATATGACCTAAAAGGTTACAATTTCTCATGAATGAATGGATAATGTTTAGCATCATTTCCCTGATGTTATTTTCTTGTATGCGTGTATAGTGTTAACTGCAGATCCCCCATATTTATGCATCAGGATTGGATTTGGGGATCTAGCTCTTCTGAGAGAATGGACATTCAAGATTCTCATTCTGTAATGCTGTGACAAGAAAAAGTACCATCAATTCAGTGTTTTTTCATTACAGGACATCATGGCATATTATTATACATCCAAAATTTTCCTTTGGGTGGCAAAAATTGAATGTGTGAAGGGCCCCTGGGATGTCCATAATTTGATTCTATAGGCATATTGGCCTAAAATAATTTCTTTGTTTCAGGTTTCCAAATGATCCTGTTTTGTTATTGTGATCCTAAAATTTTTCAGTGTTTGTTTTAAATAAAACTTTGACATGAGCTTAAAAATCCAACTTGTGTTTTGGATCCTTGTAGTTCACTTTTAATGATTGCAAGAGCAATTCATGACTGTAGGTCGTAAATCTCTACCATCGACATAGCAAAATGTCGAATGTTCATTTGGCTGCTGTCATAACTCTCTGAAATATTTAGATGGTATCATTTATAACACTTCTTAGGCATGTCATAAACAACACCAATACTAATAAACAAGATAAACAGTAAATGGTATGACCTGGTTTGGATCATACAAAGTGGCAAGGTCACAGTGACATTTACCTTGCAGGACAGTGTTCTAGGGCCTCCAAATTTTAGAATGGGACTTCAGAAATTGAACTCTTTTTCAAGTCTTGGACTTCTTGTTTTGTACATTTGTGAATGTGCTGATCAGTATATTGTAGTTAATTCCACTAATTATCACTAGGGCCAATATATATTGTAGATAGAAAAATGAGTGATTTAATCGATTTGTTTTATCAGTTCTTTAGTCTTTAAACTGAGTAGTATAACTGACAGAAACATAAAATTACTTTGGGAAAAACATTCGGTGCTACTATAGCGTGAGGTCTACCGCCATATGTCGCCTACCCAGGTCTATCAAACGTGTATAAAAAATGTATCAAATTAAGTGTTTATTGCTAAAATAAATGTATGGAAATGTGTGATATCCATGAGGGATGGATAATGCAGCGGTAGACCTCACGCTATAGGCGACATATGGTGGTAGACCTCATGCTATAGTAGCACCAAACATTCTCTAAGCATCTCGATGGTATAAAGGGAGAGAACATTGGTAATGGTGACTTGCATAAAACTGATTTATAATAATTCATACTCGTTCACTGGCCAGGAATTCAGAGATAGTTCTAAACATTCAACGGTTCATCGAGTAGCACTCAAACATTGTCAGATTTCTTTCCCCCAAATGGTTAGATACCTGGCAGCCAGGAACAATTTTACAAATACTAAATACACAACAATTAAAAAACTTGAATATTAATGAGTTGCAACATCAATAATAATAATTAATAGTAATAATAAATACTATTGATAATTTCAAAAAATTATATCATCACAAAATATATCTACACGATATAAGTTATCATATTGGAAGCTTATTAATATTCGTGATCACAAAGCTATAGACTGTCAGATATCTAGCATTTTGAGGATCATTCCTGGCAGTTTGTAGCAAACACACACACGTGTGGGTTGACACTCAACAAGAATGACGACTGACTTTTTTTTTTCCCCTGTGCAAAAGTTTTATTTGGATCGTGTCATCAAGTTGAAGACAAATCAGTCTCATAATTTACTATCACTCATTTTCTAAGTCAAATGAAAGGCGATTGTAGTTCATCAATATTCAAATTTTTGGACTGCTGGGTGTTTAGTATTTGAAAGATCATTCCTGGTTGCCAGGTATTTAGCTACTGTCTTTTCGTTTGTTTTTTTTTCTCTTGTTTACAGAAGCACTTATATGGAAAATTCAATCGTTTGATTTGCACAATATCCATTACTTAAATAAATGCTGTTGAACTAAAAATACACCCCACCCCCATAGTAGCTTCTTCCCATACATCGGAGCAGACCATAAAGGTGAAACGTGGAATACACCTAGTGGCTACATTGCTTCTAAAGTGTACTGAATATATAGTGTTCAGTAGAGTAAGTCTGACGCACAAAATATTTATCAACTAACAATTGTAATGGTTAAACTTTTTGTTATAATTGAAGGTCTGTATTTATTATTTAATCAAACTACTAGTGTTATTCTGTTCTGTGTATTTACTATGATATTTATTATCAGTCAACAATTTTATGTTAAAAAAACTATAACAGGAATGGTGACTGTTATTTAAAGATCTTTAACTGAGCTGCAATTCTTTTAATTGGCCCCTAGAGGGTGTTTTTGCAATACAAGCTTACTGTATATATTTGTATGAGTATTGCATGTAACATCAAATATGTGTACATAAACAACATGCATCAATATTGTATTCAAAATATAAAAACATTATTACTGTTCTTTGTAAAATATTATTACATGTGAATGTTTTGCTTCATTTATTTGGATTACCAGTAAAACAAAAGGTTTTCAATCAAATATAAACTAGTAGTTATAGTAACGTCATCTCTAACGTACGTGAATTAAGACTATTTAACATTCAAACCTTCATTTGATAATGTCTTCCAAACCTTCAAAGGTCAAAAGCTACCCTTCGCTACAGCCCTAATATTTTATCAAACTTTGATTTCAAAAATTATTGAAATATATTTTTTAACTTACATATTTTACTTCGTAACTTCCAATCGAAACATTTTACCCAAAATGTTCTTAGCAGAAAACTACAAGTAGAGCATTATGATGAATTAAACAATCTTAGGTAAGAAAACTGCTTATTTATCAAACTTTTAGTAAATCCAATTTACCTTGCAGCTTTTATGCAGTACTGGCAAAATATTTTGTTCTGTGCTTTCAGTATTTTTCATGTTGTAGATACTCACAGTTCTTTTTCCCAATTAGAGTTATGAGACTTCTTTATCTACTTGTTGAAGGTTTTGTACTTTCATTGTCATCTGGCTTCCACCTGATATATTCCTCTGGAATATCTTGTTCGGCTTCTTTTTTAGTCGTAGTATTTGAACTAAGGTTTTTTTAAAAACTTCCATTTTAGTGCCTGGTGAGACATATTGGCCCCAAAGTGAAATTTTTGTTATGAGGAAAAAGAAATGAGGGAGTTCTGACTTAATACACATGCACTAAGATAGCTGTCCCTCACAGAGGTTTTGCAACCAATCAGTCTTATCAGCACTTCCTTCTCTGCATGTCAACTAGCTTTTTATTAATGTTTACTGGTTAACACAAATGTTGCCTGGGAGCATTGACTAATTAAAATTAGTGTTTCCTGCTATTATTTTTTATTAATTCAAGGTTTCCATCTTAATCAAACTCACTGAAATAATCAGCTAATTCAAATTAGCATTTTTGTTTATCAGTATTAGATCTCGCTAATCACCCAGCTCCTCTGTCTGATACAAAATTAATTCCTTTTTAGATTTGCAGACTACTTATGGCTTATCTCTCTCTTTTTTTTTCATGACCAGGAGGAATGCAAGACTTTAATTACGTTTACAGTAACTGTTTTGAAATCACTTTGGAGCTAACGTGTTGTAAGTATCCACCAGCTAAAAATCTCTCTGTGGAGTGGAAGAACAATAAGGAAGCTCTTCTTGTGTACATGGAGCAGGTAGGTGGAGCCACCTTTTAGGAAATAACAATTGGGAGAGAATTGTGCAAAACATGAAGATACTATGATAAGCTTTAGTCTTGCATGCTTTTATACATATTTTATGTAAATACAATCTTACTTCTTACAGCAGCTGTGCTTACTTTTAGTGGGAAATAGTCGTAAGTATTTCATAATTCAACTTAAGTGTATGCCTGTACTGTGTGGGTTTTGGCAAGACAATAAACCAAGGGTGTCACTGGGGAGGGAAAGGACTACTAAAGGCTTACTTACTTACAGTTATACTTGTCTGTTGATTTCTTTTTTTGGCATAAAAGACAGTGTTACAGTTCATAACAAAAACTTCCTGTAAAATGGACAGTCAGACAAAGATATTTTACTGTAAAATGGCTAATCAGACATTTAATGATATTTTTCTGTATAATGGCTAGTCAGACAGTTAATAATATTTTACTGTAAAATGGCTAGTCAGATAATTAATGATATTTTACTGTAAAATGGCTAGTCAGACAATTAATGATATTTTACTGTAAAATGGCTAGTCAGACAATTAATGATATTTTACAGTAAAATGGCTAGTCAGACAATTAATGATATTTTACAGTAAAATGGCTAGTCAGACAATTAATGATATTTTACA